GCTGAAGTGTGAGGGTTTCCGCCTGCTTTGAGGCCGCCCTCCTCAGTGTCAACACAGCCGGTGGAAGCCCTCCATGTTGACCAAACAAGGACCGCACAAAACACACAAGAATAAAAAAAAGAAAAGTGAACACGGTAAAGACAATTAAACTCGCGTTGCTCAACTCTATGTCAATGGTGGCCAGTGGCGCAACATGCATGCTTAGTTGAGTAACTGACAACCTCCCATGCATGTTTGAAACCAGCTGGCCAGGAGGCACAAAACTTGTTGTTGCATGGATATTCACTGGCAAGAAAACGGCCAAAGTCCCTAGAACACAGCCATAGCTGCCAAGGAGCTTCTCCTCTTTGGCCAGTGACTCCTCATGAAGCAGCTTCTCTCGCTGATGTGCGAAGGCTCCTGGTGACGAATGTGACATGTCTCATCCACTTGAGAAATTCGGAGCATGAAGTAATGAAGTAGTTTGGGGAAACACGCCAGTTTGAGAAGCACTCTTTTTGATTGTTCATCTTGAAGTTGACACTAAATTATGCCAACCCGGAATCAGCCAAGGTGCTTTGCTCTTCCTTCAGCTCTCGCTGAAGTGTGAGGGTTTCCACCTGCTTTGAGGCAGCCCTCCTCAGTGTCAACACAGCTGGTGGAAAAGCGAAGGAACGCACGAGACATACAAAAAAAAAACATGAGCAGAAGAAGACTGGATTTGATTTGTTTACCTTTGTCAATGGATACATGGCGCTTGTGTGGCGCTTGTGTGTGAGATTGATTGGTAAAAACTCGCACCCCCTCCCCCCCTCGTACATACTTCAATACTCTGGCCGGGAGAGACTTCATGCTCGTTTTTGCATGGGTATTTGCGAAGAAAAAGGGGCCACGACTGTATGCGTCACAATCCCGGAGCTTCACACCCCTTATGTGTCAAAATGCACAAGGGGAAGCAGCTCTCTGTTGCGGATTTCAGGCCATTCAATTTCACTTGCTTTGGAGCCAAGGTTGTCCTTGCGGAGCCTCAAGCAGTGAGGAAGAGCCCTTACCTTCCTTGACACTCCCAACAATGCCCCCACTCCCTGGGTTGAAAAGGTTCTATGAAAATCTCCATCCAAGATTGTGATCCAGCAGTCACAAAGGGATGGTTTTTAGTCCCATCCAGTGAGTGGATGTGACAGGGGCACCCCTACCCTCCAAGTTCGGCACCCCGTCTTGTGACTGCTGGATGTCATGTTTGATCCAACCAACTGTGTATTAATTGATTGACCTCGTGATTGGAATCACTGATGTCTACTCGCCCCGTCTTCGCCGGAAACCATCCGCGACCCGAGGCGAACGGAGCGAAGGCTGATGCAGCGAAAAAAACCACCTGACCCAAGAGAGGTAGCCAGCGACCTGAACTAGGGCCAACCTGATATATACCTTACTGTATAGGGCCCTGTCTAGTTCGGGTCATTCAACCTGTGTTGGATGAAGCTTGGCCGGTTCCGCTCCACGCCAGGTTCCGCTGCGTCGCTGCGCTGCTGTCTCTTCCAACCCTGGACCGTCGAAGACTGGGACTGCCGGGTCAGCCTCCCCCGAGCTCCACATCACCCGCCTGATGTACCCGATGGATCCACTACCACCGTACGAAGGCGTCCTGGGACCTTCCTGGCACCCTCCTACATCAATAGTCTCTACTCACCGTACCGACCTTCTTAAGGTATGTGGATCCATAGGGGGTAGGTGAATATGGCAGTCCCATTAGTCGTATCTGGGATTGGGGTGGTGGTTTGGTCTTCGTCTGCATGTGAGTGTGCATGTCCGACAGTGACGGGAGAAAGCGCGCTGGCGTGTTGACGCAGAAAAAAGAAAGTGCTTAGCCAGTGCATCCCAGTGACCACTGTATGAGGAACCAGGGTTTCGTTCGGTCTATACCTGGATCTTCCAACTGTGACAAATGTCTGCCTTTTCACACCAAAAAACGACCCAAAGGCAGACATTGGGCATAGTTATGCATAGTTGGAAGATCCAGGTTTTATCTGCTTTTAGTTTTTGTGGATGCCCTGGGTTGGTGTGGTTGACCCGCACGCGTGGTCACTGGTGGTAGATCTTCCAGTCCTAAACAGGTCGTGTCTGGACAAATGAGCCACAAAACGCCACATCTCCAGAGGTTCAGAGGTTAAAGAACCTTACCCAGACACTCCATGTATGCCATATATGCCTACATTGACCCCTCAAACCACCCCAATGTAGGCATATATGGCATACATGGAGCGTCCGGGTTGTAGGCTATTCCTTAGGTACCCCAGGTTATGGGTCCTTTTTCGAGTCACTCAACCTCTCTTGCCGCATCTCCAAGGATCTTCTCCTCGGTGCGTGACTCGGATAGCAACTCCTCCTGTGCTCCTGCCAAGGGATTGGAAGAAGTGACGTGGGATGCGAAGAAATGGCGTGGGATGCATCAATCATCTAATGTAAAGTAGACTCTTGATTTACCCTACAAAACCAAGTACCTCCTCAGAAGGTATTTGGACCCTCCAAACCCACCCCAAACACCTTCTCAGAAGGTACTTGGAGGCCTAGGGTTACTAAAAAAAACACCAAAAAGACCTGAATCACGAGATTCGAGTGTACCTCTCTAGACCCTGCAGTCTGTCTGCTGCAATGAGACATTCTTTTCACACTGCAGATGTTCAGCTCCCCACTTGTCGCATCATATCAAGTTCAAACAGTTCAAACACAGCTCACAGCTCCCCCAAAAGTGGGACAGTTCATCTAGTTCACAGCTCATATGTTGACTTTTCAGCTCCCCAAAAAATCGACTCTCAAACAGTTCAAACATTTTCGCTAGGTCCCCAAGTCAGCCAAGCTACTCAGCTCTTGCCTCAGCCCTTGTTCAACTGCGAGACTCTCGACGTGCTTTGAGGCCGCCCTCCTCGGTGTTATCAAAGCTGGTGTGTCAAAGGCTTGCGGAAATGCTCCCTGTCAACTACACAGTCTTTCAAAGAGCAAAGGCAAGCACAACAAAGACACGCGCCAGAGGCAGGAATATGTTCATCATACAGTTCCTAGAACAGAAGGCCACAATGTAAGCTGTTGGTTAAGGACAGTATCATACAGTACATTCAAGTACATTGAGGATTTCTTGGAAAGGGACAAATGACAAAAATCCAGAGATGAAACAACAAGACAACGCTTGAGCCCAAAGTGCTCCCTCTCTTCTTTCAGCTCTTGCATTAGCTGCTCGTTCCGCGCCCGTTCCAGCTGACAGATCTCCTCCTTCACAGCCTGACCCCAGAAAACAGTCACTCGCCCCAGAAAGAGCACCGGGTGAGGCGGCGGTCGAGGAATCCCCAGCAAAATCCGGTTTGAACCTTGACTCAAGGACCCCTTCTAATTATGGAGGGTCCGAACTCGGATCCTTAGGGCCTTAGGGAATGTCCATGAAATCTGAGATAGGAAAGAGATCCTCCATTCACCATTCACCCGCTGCGGCCCGGAGAAGGTCCGACCCCTGCGGAACAGGGAAAAAGATCCGACCCCTGCATATGAGGGTCCAGGAGCGTCTGGGCTATGCTAGAATGAGTTGGGTCTATCCTAATACCTGGTTGCCAGTGGATGATGATGGTTCAGTTGCAGGCCAATTGTTTCCTGACTGTTGCAGGTAGGACAGACCCAAAGAATGAGCATTTGTGGAGCCTCGGAGGGATCGGACCCGAATCCGGACTGACCCCGAGGATGTCCACAAGCTGGCAAACGAATAGGCACATGTTTTTGCCCAGACGGTGGAAGTCGGGGGTCAGAGCATCCCAGGTAAACCACTGTAGATACATACCCTAGAAGTCCAGTTCGACGATATAACCGTCTGAAGTAAATGAAGTTCCGAACTGCGGGTCACCTGACCAATCTTTGTATAGTCTTTGAGTTCCAGGGCATAAGGAACCAGGGGCGCTCGGCCCTCGGTCTATACATGGATCTATATACCAGTCATATACCAGTCATACCCAGACCCAAAAGACCTGGCCTATAGTCCCTTAAGTCGGATCTGGGTCGACCTGATCCACGAACCCTCCGATCCGCCCCAGGTCGTCTTCACCATCGCCTCGGCCCCCCCCCGCCCGCGGTGTTCGGCGACCCCTTTCGGCCCCGAGCAGCCCCGAAAGCAGCCCAGGTCGGACCGCGGAGGGAGTGCCCAGCGACCGTCGATCGGTGGCGCGAATTCGACTGAAGCCCTGCGTTTGCAGCATGGCCCAGATACGACGAATGGGACTGCCATATTCACCTACCCTAAGGATCTGTGGACCCTCCAGTCTGAAGGGATCGAACCCTGCTGTTCACAAGGGTTTGTACCCTGAAAACCCTTGTTTTTGAGGGTGCGGATCCTTAGGGCTATACATCAGGCCAGGGGTGATTTCGAGGATTTTGGAGGTCGGGGAGGCAGTCCGGCAGTTCCAAACAGGTCGTGGGACATGGAACCCGAGAATTCAACCCGTGGCTTCGACCGTGCGAAGACCAACCCGACCGTTTTGGGGAAAAGGGGTTCCACGTGAGGAAGGCAGGGGGACTAGCCCCCCAAAGGGGCGAGGTGATTCCGGATGTCCATTCCTCACCCAACCTGTGGCGCTGGTATCAAAAACCGGAGCTGGACCAGGCCAGTGCCAGTTCCCTTTAGCAGCTGCCTTAACTCCCTACCAGCACCTTCCGTTCGTCCGGTGGTTTCTGGACACCTCTTAACCTCTAAGAGGCTATTGTCTAGACACCTCAAACGGTGTCCTGGAAACCGACCGTCGTGGAGTCCAAGTCCGTCCTCGTGCGCAGGTTCCATCGCGTGTTCATCGCCTCCCAGGAGGCCATGTCCAGTAGGTAGACGTCGTCGCATTGCACCTCCGCGTCCGCTTGGGCCACCTCCTCAAGCCGCGACGAGGGTTCAGGCGGCATCGGAAGCAGCGAGCGAGCGAGCGAAAAAACATGCACCCGACCCCTCCGGTGACCTCCTCAAAGGGCGTCTGGACTGTCTTGGTTTCTTCCGGATTCTGAGGACCCAGACCTGGTGGTGAGGCTTCCGGAGCTTCTGATTCTTAGTGAAATCGCAGTGGTGGTGGCTGAATATATTCAGACAGGTCCATTGGAATGCATTCTGCAACTAGCACATCCAAGTCAACTGCGAGGATATGCTCTCCGTGACACACATCATGTCATCTACGTAAGGCTGGCAGAGGTAGACAGGGCTGGCCAAGCTCCGCGACAGAACGTCACGGAGCGAAGCTTCTTCGTACTTGTCCCATGACTATCATGACTATCCCTAAGGATCCGTGGACCCTCCTTAGAAGGGATCGAACCCTGCTGTTCACAAGGGTTTGTACCCTCAAAACCCTTGTTTTTGAGGGTGCGGATCCTTAGGGTTGTCAATGACTTGTGCACTGGTGATCATGCCAGACACACAAACGAGAACTGCAGACCTTGACAAAGAGATTCGTCTTCCCCTATCTTCCCCGACCTTAGACCATAGAATGGAAGTATGATCATCCTGAGGAATGACAACACAATATGACAATGTGTATATCACCAACCTGAACTAGCAAAAAAAAAAACATCGTGTCCGGTCTGATACGTGGAGAACTGCTGTCACTGCTGTCGACAGGCAGCTGCAAGCAGAAAGAAGCAACAAAAACATCACAATGCCTTGTTCTACCTTCCGCACCCACCAATGTCCCCTGACCAGCTAGCTGGTGGTGCTGCACTAATTAAAGACCGAAAGGAGCAAAGAAGAAACCTGTTGATTCCTCTAGCTGTGGTCGTTGCAGCTTGTTGCAGCTTGTTGCAGCTCTTCGGGTGAGGGTTGGAGGGCTTTCACAGGCTACCTTCGGACCTTCAGCCTGCAAGAGCCTACAGGACCCGAGTAGAGATCCTTCCTTCTGTCACTCGGTTCAGGCCTGATGGAAGCAAGACAACACCACCTAGGATTGATGTCATATACCAGGACCGACACCGTTCGAGGTGTCTATAAATAGCCTCTCAGTGGTTGAGGGGTGTCCAGAAACCACCGGACTTGGAAGGTGCTGGTATACTATATAGGATTGATATCCCACTCTTGACAGATCGGCATGGTGAACTTGATAGCGCCCGCTTCTTCCATTCATCCATCGAGTTCGACTGCCAGCACCCTCCAACCACAGGTCACGGCATGTCACTGGATGCCGTCGTCGTCCCCGCGAAGCCTCGCCTCCCAGATCGTCTTCTCGTGTGTGGATCCTGATGCCAGCTCAGCTAGCATCGCCCAGGTGGATCCTGCGTGATACGCAGGTTTTGGGCGCGCGGCGGCCCAAAAAACTTCAAACACTTCCCAGACACAACCAGTCTAGGACTGGAAGAGATGCCGCACCTGTTCAACAACCCCGGCCCAAAACCTCCCCCTCCCCCAATTGGTTGGCGCCATGGCAAGAGGCGCCTTCATGTTTTGGGTTGGTGCCATTGGGCTTCCGAGGCGCAAGTCTGGACCTTCCTAGACTCAGGTCACCTCGGACCAGACCTCGGACCATACATGGTCGACTTGACCGTCCGTGGCTCGAACCACTGGCAGCTCGACGTTGCTGCACCGCCGGGAGGCGTCCCCGGACCGGGAAGGCGTAGCGGCCTGTTCCCCTAAGGAACTCGGTGGTGGGAGGGAGACATGCACCAAGAGAGGTCTTCAGTGACCTTCTAGCACACTACTGAGGTACCCAACTGGGGCTAGTCGAACTGCGTAGGGTTCTGACCCACCTCTGTTGGCCATGCCGGGCGGAAGAGGTTTGGTTCGCGCGCGGTGGCGCGTGAACAGGTGCTAGAACCTTGGGGACCCACCAGTCACGACAAGAGGGGAGGCAAATCCGAACCTATGCAGGGGTCGGACCCGAATCCTTTGGAGGGGTCTGGACCTTCTCACCAAACCCTATGGTTTTGAGGGACCCAAGGGCTGTGTTTGGAGAGTCTGGGTGGTGGAAAAGTCCAGTTTGCAATGTTTGAGGAGTGTCCATTCAGAGATGCATTTGGTCCATGCCTTCTAGATGAGATGGAAGCGTCCATACCCTCTAGATGGAAGCGTCCATGCCCTTCTTTCGAGCTATCAGGTCGGTCTGGTCCCCACGCCTTTTGCTCCACTCCATGTCTGGGCGAAGCTCACCAGAAGAGGATGTCATCTCCAGCAAAATCCAGAATGGTCGAACTGGTCGTGGAGTCCGGAGCTGTGAAATCAGCCAAGGCCTCGCTTCCAATCTGAGATAGACCATCCGGAAGTATCAATTTGGTCAAAGATCTGCAGTCACAAAAGGCTCCAGGCTCCATGTCCAATCTGAGCTACAGAGTCCGGAATGCTCAAACTGGTCAGGGAACTGCAGCCACGGAAAGCCCTCTCTCCAATCCGAGTCAAAGAATCCGGAATTGACAAACGGCTCAAAGAGCTGCAGCCATCGAAGGTTTTGTCGTGGATCTGAGTTACAGAGTCCGGAACTATCAAACTCGTTAGAGATCTGCAATCACAAAAGGCTCCCTGTCCAATCTGAATTACAGAGTCTGGAAGTGTCAAACTGGTCAAAGAACTGCAGCCACAGAAAGCCCTGTCTCCAATCAGAGTCAGATGATCCGGAATTGACAAGCAGCTCAAAGAGCTGCAGCCATGGAAGGCTTTCATTTGGATCTGAGTTACAAAGTCCGGAATTGTCAAATTGCTTAAAGAAGTGCAGCCATAGAAGGCATATCTTCCAATCGAAGTCACAGAGTGAGGAATCGACAAACGGGTCAAAGAGTTGCAGTCACGGAAGGTTCCGTGTCCAATCTGAGCTACAGAGTCCGGAATTGTCAAACTGGTCAAAGAACTGCAGCCACGAAAGGCATCATCTCCAATCCGGGTCACTGAGTCTGGGATGGTCAAACTGGTCAAAGATCTGCAGCCA